GTTACATAAAATTAAAATGTCAGCTTCTCAAGTTGTGGTGGTCACGCTTCACGTGCTCAATAGCCACCAGTGGACAACATGAGTTACAGAAGCTCTCCTTCATCATAGAATGTTCCAGGAGTCCCTAGGTGGAACAGGTGGTTAAGCGCTCTGCTGAAAGGTTGGATGGAGGTTCAAGTCCACTCAGAGACTCCTCAGAAGAAAGGCTTGGAGGTAATGCTTCTGAAAAATCAGCCTTTGAAAATGCTATGGAGTACCATTCTACTCTGCATACCTTGGGCGGTCCTGAGTCGGAAGGGACTTGGTGGTAACTGGTAGAATGTTCCATTAAGCAGTACTGTTCTAAAGAGAGCAGATACCTTCTCCTGGTGCCATCCATTTGTAAAGCGATGAGGTGACTGCAGGGTTGTAATCTGCCACAGTTACCTCTGCCCCAGGAGTGAAGTTCTAGTCTCCTTCTGAGTCCTAGTCCCATCTGATTAGCCTAGCCTTAGGAAGCTTTTGAGGACTGCTGGTGGCACAGTGGGCTAGGTATTGGGCTGCTAACCCCAAGGTCAGTGGTTCAAACCCACCAGCCACTTCATAGGAGAAAGATGAGCTGTTGGCTCCTGTGAAGACTTACTGTCTCAGAAACCCTATGGAGCAGTTCTGCTCTGTCCTATCGGGTCCCTAGAAGTTGGAATCCATTTAATGGTGGTGGGTTGGGTTTTGTTTTGTTTGGGACAGTTCTCATACATTTAGGCATGCTGACCCATCTGCTTTCCCTGTTACTGGCAAAGTTTCAGCAGAAAAGTTTCCTTTTTCACTTCTCCCCATTAAGCCACAGGTCACCTTCCTTAGAGCCTGTCTTACTGGCTATAAGGTTCCTTAAGCTGGGTTATATAGTAGGTGCACAGCTTCAATGAGCTCTGGGAAACAAGTCTTGGCATCTCTCCCAACCCCTCCCATGGCTCACTGAGCATGCTTTCAGTTCATCCAAGCACAGGCAACTCTGTAATCCCCACATCACTTCCTCCGAGTCTGCTCTCCCGGCTCCTCGCCCTCTCCTCAACCCTCTCTGGCTGAAAGCCTTCCCTCCCTAGCTCTGTATTCCTGCCGAGGGCTCCCTCTCCTGCCACCCTCCTCCCTGATCTAAAATCCTTCTTTAGGACCTACCTGTGGGCCAGGCTCTGGGTTAAGCAGCAGGGAGCGGGGGAGGAGTAGTTGTTTAGGAAGCACTGATTTCTGCTGGTGGTGATGGGAAATTTGGAAGCGGGTACCCGTCACGGTTGCACATCATCATCAGTGTAACTGATGTTACTAAATTGTGCACGTGAAAAGTGTTAAATTGTCAAATGTGTTACCAGGGGTTTCAAAAAGCCCTTGGGAAATGGAGTTAAAAGATAAGGGGATTTTTCCCACAAACTTTTTGAAGTCCCTTCATATATGTCTTTTTACAACAATGCAAAAGAGATGATATCAATGATGTCACTGAGTGGCACACCTAAAAAACTGTGGAATTGACAAAAGCTGTATTCTACGTATTTTTTACAACAATAAAAAGAATGAGGAAATGGTCTTTTTCTCAAGGAACTCACCATCTACAGGAGAAAGAGACAGGTCCCAACCATAAACATACAGAGAAGTGTGTATTGGATTTGAGCAGGGTACTCTGGGTACATAGATGGTAGAACAATTGATCCTGCTGGAGGAAAGAGGGATGTGTGGGAAACTCCCTACCCAGGATTCCTGTTTGAAGCAAAAGGTCTCTTTTGGTTGAAACCCTGTGTCAGCCACTGGTTTCTTTGTCTACTTTAGAAATAATCCTCACCGGTTTATTCCCATATACCCTCTGGCCTTGGCACTCTCACCCAGCTCCTGCCCACTGAGCCAATAGCCACCAAGCCCTCCCTGAGTCCTGCCCACCTTCATGCTTGTCCCAGCCCCTCCTTCCCAGCTCAGTGCTGACACATCTCTCCTCCTCCCTGAACAGCTGACCCCTTTCTTCCCATCCCCACCCCAGAGCCCTCCGCACTCCTCCTCTACCCATGTTCTCTCCGACCACATTCCTTTAGAACATTCCTTAATGTGGACTTCAGATTGGCTTGCCCATTACTAAGTGAATGAGATTTGATTCCAAATCCCTCACTAATTCATTCATTAGGCATTTCCTGAGCACCTGCTATAAGTCTGGTCCTGTGCAGGCCTTAAAGGTCAAAAGGAAAGTTCTTGGGCTCAATATTCTCCAGCCTAGTGTAAGGGACAATTCAATAAAGAATGACCAGACAGAGCAGGGCGGCAGAACACCATCAGGCATCTAGAGAGGATATAACAGAGCAAGAGAAGGTGTTGCTTTGGGTGGGACTAGGAACTGAGTCTTTCTTAATGAGTAAAGAGACAGTCAGATGGACAAGGCGAAAAGGCATTGCAGGCAGAAAAAGATGCAGGGGCAGGTTAAGGGGCCAGGGAGGGAATCACACAGATCTGCATATTGGAAAGTATTCTGTAGGCTGTTTGGTGGGTGGGGTGGCGTTGGACAGGATGAGACAGGGAGGGAGACCCAGGAAAGGCTGATGCAATTCTAAAGGTGCATTCTCTACCAAAGTAAGGCACTAATGTATAAAAGAACCAAGCTCTCCCATCCTGTCACCCTCCGCCAGCCCTGCCACCTCCCAGTACTAAGGCTCCATCTTCCAGCCAAAGACAAAGAAGATGTGTCTCTGCTTGTCACTCCACTCCTGCACCTCCAAGAGGCGAGCATCCTGGTGGTCAGGCAGACCTCTGTTTTGATTCTTTGTCCCACATTATCACATAGTCTTCCTCCTGATGGTACTCTGGGTACACAGATGGTAGGACAATTGATTCTGCTGGAGAAAAGACAAAGTAATAAAGTAATAAAGACAACGGAGTAGATAACAGATAAGATTACTGTCCACGGAGCAGGGCCTGGACTTTCAAGAGGATGGAGAGAACTAAACAAAGGCCCAGGGCTGGAAGAGGACAAGGAACTTTAGTAAATGGTGGGATGGAAAGAAAGAGCAAGCAGAAAAGACAAGACAGAACTTGGAAAGCCTTCCCTTTCACCCTAAGGACAGTGTGTGCAAATTTCCATTTTTCCATGAACTTTTTGAGCTCCCTCATATATTCCAGAAAAATAAGAGCTGAATAGTATCCAAATAGACATAGAAGAGTGCTCCACAAAGTTCATGGAAAAATGGAAATTTCCACACACTTATTAAAGTCCCTGTGTATGCACATCCAGCATAATTCATAATAGCAGAAAGATGGAAACAACCTAAGTGCCTATCAACATATGAATGGCTAAACAAACTGCGGTATATACATACAATGGAATACTGGGACTCCTGATGGGACCCTGTTGGATAAGCACCAAACTGCTAACTGCAAGTACTCAATGTTAAAGATCAATGATGAATCAGTGAAATAATCTCACAACATGGATGAATCTGGAGGACATTGTGCTGAATAAAATAAGTCAATCACAAAAAGACAAATATAGTATGAAACCACTATTATAAAATGTCAAAAATAGGAAGCAACATTCTTTAATGGTTACCAGAGGTAGGATGTGGAGGAAGGAGAATCACTTACATGTTTATTCTGTGAAGGGTAAAAACACTATACAATATGAGGAAAGTCAGCACAGTGTAGCCAAGGCAAAGGAAGACACTGAGAGGTATGCAAGAACCACAGTAATTCTCTAACAGACACAATTCTTCAATAGTAATACATATATTGTTGTTATGTACCATGGAGTCAGTTCCAACTCACAGCAACCCTGTATAGGGTATCTGAGGAGCAGATGGTGGGTTTGAACTGCCACCTTGTGGTCCAGTACTTATCCTTCACCAGGATTCCATATATATGTCACATGGGGGACACAGTTATCAAAACGATTTAGACATCAGGACTGTACCACTGGACTAGAAGGATAAGAACCAGAGTCTCAGGAGGCATCTAGGTCAGTTGACAAAACACAATTCATAAAGGTAATTTTCTATATGCTAGTCTATGAGTGGTATCTAGGGTCTTAAAAGCTTAAGAGTGGTCATCTAAGAAGCAGGTATTGGTCTCTTCCCTCCTGGAGCAAAGGATGATGAAGACATTTAAAATGAAATTTCAAGGAAGCAATTAGTTTAAAGTACTAATGGCTCACATGAATTGTAAACTGTAATCCTGTAATCTGAGACCTGAAGAACTAGATGGTGCCCAGCTACCACAATCTACCACTGTGCCCAAGAGCACAATAAAAGGTCCTGGTTAGAATGAGAACAAAATTCACAGTGAAAAGGGATTGGAATGGACAGACTTACTGGTCTGAAAGACACTAGAAGAACCCCTTAGACTATTGCCCTAAGACAACCCTCTAACTTGACCCTGAAAACACTCCTGGAGGCCACCTTTCAGCCAAATAACAGACAAACAACATGAAGCATGTGCCTCTCAGAATAGTCCAATAAGGCAATATTTGTCCAAAACCAATGATGTCCAAAACCAGGGAGGGAGACAAGAAAGCTAACATGAAGCATGCGCTCTTCAGAACAACACCAAAAGGGCAACATTTGTCCAAAACCAAAGATGATATATCAGGGAGGGGGACAAGAAACCAGAAGAAGGGGAATGGAGAAGCTAGTGAGGAAAGAGGGAGAGTGCTGACACACATTTCAGGGATTGCAACAACTCAACAGCACTTAACATCAACAAACCAACGTCGTGGAACAATTTGTGTATGAATTATTGAGTGGAAAGGAGTTTACCATGTAAACTTTCACCTAAAGCACAATAAAATGGCTATTTAAAAAAAAAAAAAAAAAAAAGTCATAGTCTTGTAAACCCTCTGAGCACAGTTCTGCCATGTGTGCCTTGTGGAGCCAACTCAGCAGTCATTAATGTCTTGTCTACCACATGACATTTCTAGGGTCCTTTTGAGCTTTGTCAATCCCAGGACTCCTGAGCATCTCTACCACTGACCCAAACTCTGTCCGACTTTGTTCTTTCAGAGGAGACGACGTTCGAAGCAGGAGTGAAAGTTCAGATTCACAGTCAGTCTGAGCCGCCTTTCATCCAAGAGCTGGGCTTCGGCGTGGCTCCAGGGTTTCAGACCTTCGTGGCCACACAGGAGCAGAGGGTAAGTTCTTCCTATATCTGTGGGCCTCAGCCTACTCTGGCTCCTACAAAGGCTAGAGGAGGAGACCTAGCGGTCCCAGCTCTGGTAGGCTCTGAATCCACCCAGGAGTTTGGGAGCAGGGCTGGCCTTGGTAAAGGACTTATGCTGAAAGCCCTGGCTTGGGTACTTATTTATGTTGACATCTCTCCATGTATGTGTTGCTATTAGCATGTAGATGAAATGAACAGCATTCTTTGAAACGGAGAGTGTAATTTCTTCCCATTGCCCTCAAAGGTTGGAGAGGAGACATGTGTCAATCACCCTGTACCACCTAGTTCTTCTCCTATTCTACTTCTCAGTTCCTCAAATCAAGTGTGAAGGGAAACCCAGCTTTTTTATTATTGTCTCGCTGAGGTTCCAACTTGCCCACAATATTCTGTTACAGTAGCCTTTCTGTATAAGTTCATTTTTTTTTTTTCAATATTGGGGTATAGAGCATTAAAGGAAACTGCTAGTCAGGGTTTGTTATGTTTTGTCACAATCCAAAGTAACCTGTAAAGAGGAACAGGGTGTCGCTCTCCAATAGTGGAGGTTACAGGTGACTTTCTGTCGGTCCCAGATCTAGCACGTACCAAAGAAAGGATGCATCTCAGCCAGTCATGACAGCTGCATCAACTCGGCCAGTCCGTGGAGTGTGGTTGGTACAGCTTCACATCTGACACGGGTTTTACATATCAAAAGGGAGATTCTCCCAAATTAGGGAGAAAGTCTCCATGCATGACTGTGGGAGACATGCAGATGCTGTTTTGTTCTCTTTCCTGGATATTTGTTTTCTGGTGTGCCTAGAATAGAAACTGAAGAGGCTATAACTTTGAGCAAGGTTACTGAAGACTGCTCTCAGAGTGTTCCAGCAAAGAGTTAAGTCAATGAGAAGAGGCACTACTCCAAGGTGTAAGAAAGAGAGAATCCATGAGAAGGGTGGAGGAGTTAGGAAAGATACAAACATGAAACTTGTGAGCTCAACTTCTTTTTAAAATCTTACTGAATGGCGTTGCTCATCTACCACAAACCACAGGTATTTAACCATGGGGCTATAGGATAAGCACTGGACCTCAAGGTCATTTTGAATCTCAAGGTCGGTGGTTCAAACCCACCAGCCATTTCAATGACACTTAACAACAACAACAATAAAAGTGATATTCTGTATAAAGTCTGATAAGAAACCTGTAAGAACTGCATTCTTTACTCTCTCTCCGGGAAAGCATTGATGGTTTATTGTAATGCCTAGGCAATGGCTAAAAGGCACAGATTAACTTTCATAACGGCAAGACAGGAATGGAGCAGTGGCTTTGAGTCAAGGTCAGCAGATACTGGGAGGTTGGTCTGGCTGCTATGAGACCCCCAGAGACTGAGGCAGGCGTGAAGCAGAAGTGTAGTGTCCCAGGGAGACTAAGGTTGGAACCAAGTGTTGCAAACAGAGAAACCCTCCTTGATGCAGACATATGAGCCAACTGTGACTCGTCGTGACCTTTGAGCGGAACGGATGTTGCCCCATACTGCAGCATCCCCACCCTCTCCGGCACTAACCCATCTCACTGAGGGTCTCCCACTCCCTCATAGGTCCTCTACCTCACCTCCAGTGACCGATCCCATCTGACAAAGTGGCCAAGCAAGCGAGTCAGACCATGTTCTCTTGTGATACGTAAGGTTTTCACTAGCTAAATTTTGGAAGTCGGTAGCCAGGCCTTTCTTTCTGGTCTGCCTTAGTGGAAGCTTCCCTGAAACCTGCATGGGTCACTCTGCTGGTATTTGAAATATCAGTGGCATAGCTCCCACTAGCATAGCAACACCCAAGCCATCACAGGATGGCAAACTGACAGACAGACAGTGGGATGCAGACAGTAGAAAGAGGCAAAGTGCAGAGCTAAAGATATGAGTCAGGAAGAGTGAGAGATGGACAAGCAGGTCAGGGAATGGAAATGGATGGGTGGTATGGAGGAGTTCAGAGCCTAAGCGATCACCAATAAAAAACAAATAAACCCACTGCCATCGAGTCTGTTCTGATTGTGGATTCCTAAGGCTAAGAAGGAGCTCTGGTAGCATAGTGGTTACGAATCAGGCTGCAAACCTTAAGGTCAGCAGTTCAAAACTACCAGCTGTTCTGCGGGAGAAAGAGGAGGCTTTCTGCTCCCGTAAAGATTTAAAGCCTCGGAAACCCTGTACAGGGTCACTATGAGTCGGTTCCGACTCCACGGCACATCACTACCACCACCAAGGCTATAAGTCGATATGATAGCAGATGGTCACAACTTCCTCCAGTGAAATATCTGGTGGGTTTGAACTGCCAGTGTTTTAGTTAGCAGTCAAGCACCTTAACCATGGTGCCACCAGGGCTCCTTCTAAGCTGTTGTTGTGTTGTTAAGTCAGTTCCAACTCATAGTGACTCTGTATAGGGTTTCCAAGGAGCAACTGGAGGGTTTGAACCACTGACCTTGTGGTTAGCAGTTCGGTGCTTATCCTACAGCGCCACACCTAAGATATTAGCCTTGGTCAGTATTTGTGTACTCACTTCTGTGTGCTGGGCAGGTAAACCAACCTCCCTTCCCAGGGCCATACGCTGGTCAGGTGCAAAATAAGTATGCAGTGAATTCATTGACTCTTTTGCTATTTGTCTAAGACCAATCTGACTTTGTGGTTTGTTGAAGGTTGAAGGTACCCTACCACCACTATCAAGAATTACTTATTTGTGTTGACATCTCTTTGTATCTACAGTGCAATTAGCAAGATAGAAAGTGCACAATGTTCTTTGAAATCCAAAATGAAACTTCTTCTCACAGATAGGGAAGGTTGGAGAGGAGGAAGATCTGTGTAGGTCACTGCTTTTCATCAGCCTCAGATGTGTTTATTCCTCCTTCACACCCTGGCTCCTCCCTCCTCCCCTTCCCTTCCCCCCGCCCCCATCAAAGATTCTCTGAATAAATTTCTAGGCTGGTTTGGAAGTTGGAGCTGATGACTTCTAAGAACTCTTAAGTCTCAAGGCTCCCCGTTGTGAGCAAGATGTGAAAAGAGAACCTATTCCCAGCTTCAGAGGATACATTTCTTGTTTGCTTTGAAGTATATTCTCAGAAAATCAACCTCATTCATCTCAGTATTACTATGATTATTATAACTAATAATATGATATTTTGTTAAGCATTTTACAGTCTTCAAAGCATTTCCACATCATCTCATTTCATCATTTCATTCATATTAATAGAAAAATACAAAACACATCCCAGAGCTAAATGTAATAATACATTATGTTTACATGTATATAAAAGAGCATATTCATAAGAAATAATAGTTGAAGGAAAATAAGCCAAAATACCCACAGTGGGAAAATTATAAATGATTTATTTTCTTTTCTGGGTTTGTCACATATTTTATAAGTTGGCTTTGCTCTGATTATTCATTCTGCAAATATTTATTGAACACCTATTATGCCAGTGATGGGGGTACAGTGATAAAAGAGACCAAAGTTTTACCAGCTCTGCCCTCACAGAATCCTGGGTTAGATGTTTCATTAATAAAGAAAAAAAAAAAAAAAAAATATATATATATATATATATATATATATATATATATATATATGCCAAGTCAAGTGTGGAGTTCCTGGGTGGTACAAAAGGTTAAGGTGGTCAGCTGTTAACCAGAAGGTAGGAAGTGCAAGTCTACTTAGAGATGCCTCAGAAGGTCTACTCTCATGCACATGGGGTCGCTATGAGTTAGAGTCCACTCAGTGACAAGTGGTTTTGTTAATTGGGAGTGTCCTCCCACACCACGTAGAAGCTCTCATCCTGCCATTAGTTCCAACTTCTCCAGCTGATCCTGATCGTTGACTCTAAGATGCTTTTTTCCCCCCACATTTTATCATTTCTGAGATTGGCATTTCTTTTCCAATCAGTGGTATCTTACAGTTACACTTGGTGCACATAAAACCATGGTGCATCGTATGCTCAATGGGACATCAATGAAACATGGTGGCTCCATTGTTCTCACTCAGGATTCTGCTACTCCAGCTCAAAGTTTAGGGAAACCTTGCAAAACTGTCAGGAGCAGAAGGTCTTCTCCTGGAAAGTTGGTGTGAATCACGCTAAGAAAAGTACCTAAAAGTCCTAAGGAGGACTGGTGGCTAAAAGGAATCGTGCCTCGGATCTCTTTGTAAATATGAAAGTCCTTTTGCATGGGAAAAGTCAAGCTGTTGTTGTTAAGTACTGTGGAGTCAGTTCCGACTCATAGTGACCCTGCACAGGGTTTCCGAGGCTGTAAATCTTTACGGGAGCAGAACGCCTCATCTTTCTCCTGCAGAACAGCGGTAGTTTCAAACTGCCTGCCTTGAGGTTAGAGGCCCGATTTGTAACCACTACACTACCAGAGCTCCTTAAAGTCAACCTACCCATGCATAATTACACACACTTATGTATATTTTATTTTATTTTGTAATCCAAAAGAATGTGCTATTAGGCAATAATTCAAATCAAGAATTGTTTTTGCTTGTTTATTTTTAATCTGCATCTTCCCTAAATCCAATTAACCAAGGTATGTCCCTGCTCATGGGCCAACTTGAGACAAACACAAATGGATAACCTGAGAAATGCCTTACCATCTGACTCTGTGGCTGTAGTAGCCCCTGCCCAGTCCCACGGCCACCCTCAGAGACAGGCAGAAACAGAACCCTGGAGTGGCAGAACAATAATAAATTACTATAAATCAAGCGTGTACTACCTGTCAGGCATTGATCTACAAAGATGCCTGGTGTGCATTACCTCATTTAAACCCCAGGACAACCCCGCAAGGGAGGTATTGTTATCTCCACTTTCCAGATGACGAAACTGCACAGTCAAGTAACTTGCTCAAGGTCACAGAGCTCGGGGACCAGCAGGACTCAGCTTTGAGCCCAAATCTGTCAGGTTCGTAAGCACGCATGGCTATCTCTGAAGAGAATGCATACAAGAAGTCCAGGGAAGGATTTGCTGGTGGAT